GTGCCTGTGGGGTTTGGCAACCACCCAGGAAAAAAGAGAAAATCACACCAGCAGAGCCCACCAGCACACAATTACTGGCGGGGGATGAGGAACTAAGTGTGTTTGCGCCTTTTGCTACTTGTGCCTCCAGGATAACACCACAGATGTCCTTGTGCAGGGTCTGTAGCCATGCCCCGATGTGGATTTTTTTTTTTTTTTGGTCTGGGCCACCATGTACCTCTGGGCTTTGCAGAAAGTAGCACATGAGTGTTGTCCATCATTTGCAAACATGATCCCCCCAAAGGTAATTAGTTGATGCTGCAGCCAGGCCCCCCTCTCTGCCCGGAGCAGCAGGCGGCATTGCTGGTGTCTTTTCATTGTGGGGCGTAGAAAAGACCTTACCATTCATTCTTACTGCATTACAGGCTGATTTTATTAAAAACTGCCGTGAGAGACTGCCAAACTCCCTCCTCTGAACGTCTCCCGAGCCCAACCTTAGGGGTAATTGTCTCCCCCCATCGCTTTTCATTACATTAAATGCAGGAGGAGGATCTGAACATCCAGGGGCTCCGGTGTGAGCATGGTGTGTCCTCACTGGCACGATGAGCGCAGCTTGGGCAGTCAGATTTTGCACCGCAGGTGGTTCAGGGAAAGGCAGCATGGGGTGGCGGAGGCCAGGCAGCACCTTGTCTGTCACCCCTGGGGCAGGCTGGGGACAGGTCCTGCACCGGTGGCTACAGAGCTCTGCCCCAAGTGGCCAGGTGCTGCCAGGTCTTCACCTCGGACTCCAGCCACCCTCTTCTCACATGTTCTGCTTCCCTGGCTGCTCTTCATTAAAAGTTAATGCCGGGCTCTCAGTCGGTGCTGAGGTAATGCCATTCATCTGCTGACGAGCCTTTATAATTATTGATGCCGACCCAGATGTACCTCTGTGACCTGTTGTCCCACCCCCCTCCGCTTGGCCAGTTCCAGGAGGTCGCACTGGAGGAACAAAGGGGTGAACCAAATCGTGTGCTCGGGAGGACCAGGAGGACACCACACACATGCAGACGGCTGTTGCTGGTGGAGAGGCTGGTTTGGCGGGGGGGTCTGCTTCACAGACCTCGCACCTGCACCAGGACGGATCAACCTGAGCATCTGTCCTGGGAGCCCTGCTCTGCTCCCCTCAAGTTCCACTCCCGGACCTCAGAGGAGCTTACGTAGCACAAGGATCAGCTGCTCCTTCCAAAAAGGTGTGAGTACCCCTTCCCTCCCCAGCTGTGTCCTGAGCAAACCAGGGACATGCTCTTGCATGTGTGGTCCCCTTATCTCTGGTGGCTTCCTGATGCCTCTCTGTCCTGGTTTGAGAGCACCGGCACAGATGTTCTCTGGTGCAGTCACAGTGGGGGAGAATGGGCAGCTGTGCCTGTGGGGAGGAGAGGATGGCTCAGGTGACCTGAATGGACCCATCACAGTGTTCCTTCCCATGGTGCTCAGTAGAAAAGGGCCCCTGACAAAAGCTCTGGGGCCTTTGGTGCTGCTGTGCTGGGAGGGCTTTGATGGGCTGTTCATCATCTCTCCCGGTGCTGCTGGTGTTCCTGCCTCCAGCTTCCACACTGCAGAGGAGCTCCATTCCTTGGGACAGGTTTGTCTTCCCTTGGCCTCCTGGGGTGGGAGTAGCACAGCTCCTGTTCTGTTTTTCTAGACTGTCAGCAGGACTCTGGGCTCAGGTGCCCACGTCTGCTGCTGAGTCCAGTACGGACGGCTTTTGCTTAGGACCTAGTTGTTATCTGGGAGCCATGGGTTCCATATTAACATGTTCTTTTGTATGTTTGAATATGTTTGCACACTTGTATACTATTTGTATATAGTTCAATATCTTCATTGTTATTCTAAGTGTTATTTTCTTTTTCATTATACCGGATCAAGGGGGTTTTTTTCAACCTCAAAGTCTCTTTCGCTAGTTCCCGTTAGCCTCCCCTGAGAGAGGGGTGGTGGGATCACACAGAGCATCTGTCAAAGTTTAGTGGCCAGCCCTACCTTAAGCTTTGATACCCTTGTAACCTGCTGGGGCCTCATTCCCCATCTGACTATCCTGTGTCTTATTGCTTCTGCTGTTTTTTGAAATTGCCTTTGTTCTGCCTTTGTCCATCTCTCCCTGTGCTCCTGCTTTGGCTCTGCTCACTCTCAGAGACAGCAGGACTCCAGCTTCACTTAATTTATCCTCTTATATGGCCCATCCTAACACAGATGGCTTTGTTGAGAGGGAAAACCATCTAAAGGGACTTTGGCTCGTTCCCGTATAGACGATCTTCAGAGTCCCACATCTACTAGAAGTGTGCCAGGTGTTTGATTTCTCCACACCCCCTCCTACCACCCTCCGCAGCCACCCTCCTACCAGGCTTCCTTAGGGAAACTGATCTGCTGGGGAATGTTAAACACAGCAGGGAACTAGCTGCCCTCCAGGGTTTCCCCTTAAGACAGGGAATGACCCAAAGCTGGAAGGTTTGCGGGGTTGTCAGTAGTCGGAGGTCTGTTGCCTAGAGCTGCTCAGCAGGGTTGGTGCGATACAGCAGAGAGCCAACAGCCCGAGAAAGAAATACCTACTGGAACAGCCTCACAGAGTGAGTGTATTAAAATAATATTCCTAAATAACCGGGTGCAAATTACAGATCTGAGCAGATTTAGATCGGTGAGCCGAATTAGGCATCCCTTGAGCAGGCGGAATTAACATGATTTAGATCAATGCAATGCTTACTAGATTATTTCTCTTTCAAGCGTTTTCTCCTAACTATCGAGGGATTTAATTTAACTTACAGCCGACGCATCCCAGTTTACTGGGTGCAACCGGTGATCTCAAATTTGACTAGTGAAAAAAAATCTGTTTTCTGCAAACTGCAGGGTAGAACCATCTGACGGATCAAGACCGGAGAACGCAACTGGGGTGTTCATCCAGATGGTCAGAGAAGATCACAAAGCACAGACCAGTCTCTGACACAAGACACTGAAGCGAGATGAATTTCTTGGAAATATGCTCTTCCACAACTTAAAATAGCACAGGCTGTCCTATTCCTTCCCATGTGCTGGAGGGTATCGGTGCAGAGCTGCAAAACATTCTACATTAGGCTCGAGCCAATTTAGCTTTCATTTTACAAAAACCACACTAATCCCCCCATCTTAAAAAGAATACGCTTCCCGCGCAGTTAACTCCGTGTGGCAGGGAGAAATTCTTCCTTTGTATTTTTAGCAGCAAATACCAGCTACCAGGCACCAAAGTTTTGTGCTACATTCTACACCGCTTTCCCAAAATGGAGAGGTCTCTTCAACCGGGATCAGGAGATAAAAGAACCGTGTTCTATAGATCCAACAAAGCAATCTCGGCGATTAAGTGCTTTCAGAACTAAGCGTGGGGCAGCACGACGCATCCAACAGCCAGCCAGGAGTAAAACAAAGTAAAAGGCAGGCAGAATGAAACGGGCTCACATCTCGGGCTCCCCCCTTGAAGCTTTGTCAGCCTCTTCGACACACGCGGCATTCAGAGCTACTCAAAGCAAACTCGTAAAATAGGTTTGAGTCTAGCTTTGTGCAAAAGCACCCCGAGAGCTGAACCTGCGCAGAGGAATAATGACTGGCTTATGTTCTTTCTAGGCAACGGAGGAAGAGTGCAGGAGGATGCATTTGATGACTCTTAACTCAAATCCAGAGGTGAGCCCTTAAAATGAAAGAGCTTCTTCATGCACAATTTAGTTTAATTTTTTTTTTACTTTCAGTAACAATATAATTTATTTTTTCAAGTAAATTAATCCACCTTTCTTTAATTATAGGATGGTTCTGGCAAAGAGAAGCAGCAGGTACAGTTGGGGAAGTATTTTCATCTGAGCTGAAATTTCACACAGTCCCATGCAGATACAGTGCCAGAAACTTCTTGAATGTGTCTGGCTGAAAGCCATATATTCCAGTGGGCTTCTGCAGAGAGAAAGACATGGATGCTCAGTTTGCAGTGAAGTGATTAATGCGGACAAACAACTGCTTTAAACACGCTTGAATAACACTTCAGACGTGGTAGCTTCCAAATTGTGCTAACCCCTCCCTTGATGGGTTTGGCTGTGGGTGCTTCTGCTGGTATAAATCTCTGATGACAAAAACCCTTCGCCCGTCAGCCCGAGATGCCGTCCCGGCGTAACCAGGGCTGACAGCCCCGTGCTCTGTTTACTCTGTCACGAAGCTCACAGTTGCATGTAAGTGCTGCCTTCGTCGGAGCACGAGCTGATCTGAAACAAGCCTATTATTATGAGACGGTACATTAAAGATGGGGATAGCTTGACGTAGGAGCTCACACTGAGCTCGGCATGCGGCTCGCGGGCTACGCAGGACATCAGCGCTACAAATACTCCCTGTCAGTAACACCTGCTTCAGTAAGAACAAGGCCAGCACCTGCGTCGGGTCCCTTCCACTGGTTTAAACTCCACACTGTAGCCCTAGGCCAGCTCCCAGACCTCTGCCACAGGTGAAGGGGCTGGATTTCCAGGATAATTTCCCAAGTTTTGCTTACCGTAACAACTCTCTTCTTGACTTCTGGAACACACTGGGCTCTTTCGTACAGTTTCTGATCAGAATCAATCCAGACTAGATTCTTTATGCCATCGCTAGAGACAAGGTCTGTTGTATTTAACTGGAACACCATGAACTGGAAGAGCTGGCCGTCTGTGCCAATGCTTTGCACCACTACTGGCTGCTCCAAAACCTTGGGTTCATTCTAGGAAAGAAGGAATGGGGGAGGAGAATGTTTAAAAAGCCAGTTACTACAGAAATTGTATGAGTACTTGCTGATTCTGCATCTTCTGCTTGGTTTAAAGCCAAGATTTTAATAAATGTATTGTTACCTTGCCCAGCAAATTACTCTAGTCAAACAAGTTTTGAATGTAGATTTTGTATTTTAATTAAAATTCCTCCTTCAGCAATGAAGTATCAATTTACATACTGAGCTGTGGGGCGGGTTAGAGTTTTACAGTTGAACTTACTCCCTGCTTCCTACCCATTACCGCTCCAACGCGTGTTACATCATGAACACGCTCGTTGCTGGGTGGCAGTTTTCTGGATCAGCCAGATGTCGGCAACCATACCTGAAGGTCAGAGTCAGACCTCCAGGATGGGAAGCTCAGATTTGAAAACATGCCATGGCAAGGGAATTTCAGGACTCCTTCCACTAGCTGCAGCAGCAGCTAAATGGAACAAAAGCCTAGCAGGTGAGCAACAGCCTCCAATACGTACCCCGTACAGCACCTTTGCCTTTGCCAGCGCGTTGCCAAAAGCAAACATCAGCATTTTAGCACGAAGCTGTTCTGGTCTGAACCTGTCAGGACGAATGTTGGCCGATTCCAGGAAGAACAGAGTGTGAGGATGAGAGTACGGATAACCATCTCTGAAACCTAAATGGCAGATAACCATGTCAGAAACTGCTCAGTAAGAGACTAGACAGCCAGTGTTTCCTCCCATATCTTTGAGGACTTTTGAAGTAGTTTGCTGGGATTCACATTCCCTATGGTCTAGCTTAGGTTACAATGTACTCGTCATGGGTCCAGAGTGCCTGCACTGCACACTCTGCGCCCAGCTCCTCTGTGCCCTCATTCCCATACGCTCCCTACCCACAGCTCTCTCGCAGAAGGGCAAGGACTCCAGGTTAACCCAAACACTTATGTGTGACAGAAAATTATTACCAACAGCCAGATTTACCTGTATCATTCAGCTCTCTGTACACCTTCACTTCCTGAAGATCAATTGTAGGAGAGATGGGATAGAAGGTCTCAAGAACGTGTTCTTCAGTGGCCAGTATCTCTTCCTCGGAAGCTACTGGTGGTATTGGGGCCATTGAGTTCATAAGTATTCCATTCAGGCCACGGACCTGAAGGAGAATGGATTCTGGGAAGGGAAATCAGGCTACATTCAGACATTGCTGAAATAAGATCAGGACAAGATATAGGTTTCCTTTTGGGCAGCAGCATTCTATCAAGACATTGTTCTGCAAGGCTTGCTCTCTATCTTCACCTCCAAACTCATCTTAAATAGTAGCTCAGCTGTTGGTTCTTCTCAAATACCAACACTAATTACTGGTGTTAGTTTCTTAACGGACTTAGGAAAACAACAGTACAGGTTTTGGACACAAAATCTGGTTGAATCACCATCCTTGGATGTATTTAAAAGCCACCTGGATCTGGTGCTCAGAAACACAGTAGAGTTAGATAATGGTTGGACCTAAGGTCCAATGGTTGGATCTTGAAGGTCTTTTCCAACTGTTATGATTGATTCTGTGATTCTAAATGATCAGTTTTAAGACACTGATTCTCTTCTCCGATCTTGTCAGTATTGTCCAACAACCTAAAAATCTCCTCAGGACAAGTATCCTGCCATCATCCAAGGTTCCCTGTGTTTACAGCACTCATTAAAGCTGAAAGAATTACTTGTTTCCAGAAACTGTTTCATTTTCTCCAAATGCTCAGCCTTAAAGCTAGCAACTTTGCTACTCCTCTCATATTAGTGAAAAGAGGGAAATGTGTCCACCATTGCAGCAACTAACCTCTTTCCCATGCAGCGGATATCTTGTAGTTTCTAGCCAACATTCTCTTAGCCAGAGCAGGATACTTCATGCACATTAACCGACATAAATGTATCAAGTCTTCAAAGAGTACTGGGCTTTAGAATGAGAAGAAAAAAACAGTTGTATAAAAACCATGATTGTAATGATGGGCTGATGCTTCTGGGATGTGAATACTATAATATTGCTGCATGTAAAACATTAAATGGCATGACACTTCCAAACAGTTAACACAGATTTCAGATTAACATCCCACACACCAGTCCTGTTCCAAGTTGGCAGAAGTAATGCTTACCATTCGTTAGTTAAAAAATTGACATTCTGCATCAGAATTAGGTCTCAAGCTGAAACACATACCTTGGCCTGAAAGACGCTTTAATGTTGAGTATGTGCTTACATCAGTACACCAATATTCAGAATTAGGGAGGGTTGGTTTGGTTGTTGCTTGTGTTACAAACTGACGACCTGATACAAAGGGTTTAACACCTTTGTGGAGTAAGTGAATCTCTCAGCAGTAGATCTCCAGATGAATTTTCTTTGTAGTGTTAAAAACTGTTTCTTATCTTCTTCAGCTGGCTTAGCCATAATCAGCAGCAGAAAGGTTTTTCCCTATGTCCAAGGACTTACCAATACTGTTCTCTCTTGGGAGCAACTTCTGTTGTGTCCCAGAGCCGTGCATGCGAGATTGCGTGTTTCACCCTCTCCTCGTGGTCCTCGAGCTGGTGAGCAGGGTTGTTAATGATGCTTAGCACCGGTGGAGGCAAGCCTTCCACCCGCTTCGTCTTGGTGAGCCACTGGGCTTGCCGAACTCCTTCAAACACACACAAAAACACACCGAGAAAACACGTTATTTCTGGGGCTGGCAACGGGCTAACAGCACACGCAGCTCAGGAGGCAGGGCAGGCTCTTCACCGACTGTGATTTTATGCGTAATGGGAGGAGAAACCTTGGCTGGTGGTGAAGGGTGAGCGCTGGCACAGCGGAGGAGCGCTGGGGAAGGCGGGCAGAGGGGGTGTCCCGGGCCGAGGAGGGCCAGGGCCCCGGGGGAAGGAGCCAGG